GCTCCCAGGCACCTGTTCACCTGCATCCCTCTGGCCCTCAAGCCCATATCCTCCTCTGGCCTGGCCTACTCCCAGCGACGCTGCAGGGCTTGACCCCAGGCTCTGCCTGTTCTTGCTGGCATTCCTCCTGACCTCCACACCTCACAGCAAAGTCCACCTCCCACCTGATCAGGTGGGTCTGCAGGAGGCCTGGTGCCAGGGTCCAAAGCCCAACCTGCCTGTCCCCCAGGCTCAGGGCGGGCGTGTCCCCAGACCTTCCCACTGAGCCTTTGTTCCCTGAGCGCAGCCCTTGGTTGCCTAGGCTGCCAGCGCCACCCTGCAATGGGTTCACCCTGGGGCACAGGGCAGAAAAGAAAGGGACTGTGGAGTCACTCCCTTCAGGACACCTGACACCGCATGGGCCAGCCTGGCCCTTCTGAGAATAAATCCCACACACGGTGGGAAAGCCAGGAATCTTCCAGTCCTGCGTGAAAATGAAGAATTCGCTAGCTTGTCCCTTCCTTCTACCTTTACTGACATTCTCTGTGCCTGGATCGGACTTAAACCCTGGTAACTGACAAGGAGCCGACGTGAACCAGAGCCAAAACTCAGGAGTGCAGGTCGGCTGAATGAGGGTGGGGCCCCAAGACTATGCCCAGGTCTGGGTCCACACCTTTCCTGATCAGGGTCCTTCAGACAGTCAGCTCCCTGAGCCTCGGCATCCTGATGCATATAATGGGGCAACACCTTCCATAAAATGGGCTAATAAAGGTGCAGCGTAAGCCCTGTCCCTGCTGACTACATGGAAAAGGGCCCGCAGGCCTGTCTGCCCAGGTAAGCACTGCACCATGGGACCAGCACAGGTCCTTTTCCTCTCTCAGCCTCTGCCTCCTGCTCCGTCACGCTGGATGTGGTTGCTTAAGAAAATGTCAACCAAATGCAACACGTGGACCTTCTTGATGCTGATTCAAACAAACCAGGAGCAAAGAGGCATTTATGAGGCAATCAAGGGCTTTTTCACATAATAGGAAACTGCTATGATCCTGGCATTGTGGTTATGTCACATTCTGTCAGTAACAGAAAATATTTATTTTATAGAATTGCAAACTGAACTCTGGGTGTAAAATGACAGACAGTCTGGGCTTTGCTTTAAAATATTTCAGGAAAAAAAAAGGGATGGATGAAGCAAGCATGACAAAGTCTTCAAAATTCTTGAGTCTGGGTGTGAAGAGTTCATGATATTGTTTTTCCCTACCTTTGTGTTTGAAAATTCTTTTTGTAACGATTAAAAAAAAAAAAAAGAACTAGAATAGAGCCTAGCTGCTGAAAACCAGCAGCACTGGCATCACCTGGGAGTCGAGACGCCAGATTTAACAAATAAGAGGAGGATGCCTGGTAAAATTTGAATTTCAGATAAACAGCAAAGGACTTTTTAAAAGTTATGTTCCATGTAATACTTTACTTATGCTATAAAACTATTTGTGAAAATAGCTTGGCAGTTTCCTATAAAATAGAACATGTAACTACTTTATGATCTAGATTGCACTCCTAGGCATTTATCCCAGAAAAATGGAATTTACTTATGTGCACACAGAACCCTGTACACAAATGTTTATAGCAGTTTCATTCCTAACAGCTCCAAACTGGAAACAGTCCAGACGGCCTTCAGCAGCCAAGGGTTCAACAAACTGTGCACCCACACCACAGAATACTACTCGGTAATAAAAAAGAATAAGCAATTGATACATACAACAACCTGGATGGATCTCCAGAGAATTCACTGACTGAAGACCCGAAGGCCTACATATTGTATGGTTCCGTTTGTATGATGTTCTTAAAAAGCAAATGTATAGAAACAGAACAGATTTGTTCAACCAGTGAAAACTGGTAAGTACCAACTGTGAGTGCCCACGGGGTGATATATGGGTGAGCAAAGTACTGGTTCTCCCCAACTCCTCCCACATTGCAAATACATTAAGAAGCACTACCAGAAGGACACAAGTGACTCTGATTCAAAGCACTCAGGGCACGTATCCTAAGGAAGCAATGTGCTATGGAATACAGAGTGAAAAGGAGAATGCTCTGGACATTTGGAGGAGGGGGGAAAAGTGACCATTCATGAACATGGCACACATTTCCATTTACTTAGGTCGTCTTCATTATTAGCCTGTCAATGATGCTCTGTTATTTTCTCCTATTCAGTTTTGCTTATTAATTCCCGGGTATTTACTCTGCTCATTCTACTGGAAATATTTACATTTTTCTAAGCACTCTTGTTACGTAAAAATGCAACTCTGACTTGGATTCTGATTTTTCATCCAGTCACCTTCCAAACACTTATTATTTTTCTAGTAATTTGATTCTGTGGTCTTCTGGTTTTCTATGTAGACAATCACATCAGTAAATAATATGGTTTTATTTCTTCCTTTTCAATCCTTATACCTTTTACTTATTTTTCTAGTTTTACTGCGCAGGCCAGCACCTTTTATGTTCTTGTTTTTTGCGGGGGGTGGGGGGTGTTAGTTCCCTGACCGTGGGTCAAACCTGGGCCATGGTAGTGAGAGCTCAGAGTCCTGGACAGCCAGGGAATTCCCTAAAGGGATGTTCCTTTTTCATGAGTGATGTTTGCACCATATTAACAAAGAGATCAAACATCACCAATATCGCCAAAAATGGGAAAAACTGACCTCATGTGTCATACAACATAATGAACTGAGGATACAGCATCACTTATTTAACATTCTTGCCAAAAACGTATAACATGAATCTAATCACAAGAAAACAATGGGTTAAATTCAATTTTAGCAACATCCTTCAGAACAGCTGGGCTTTACAGCTTTAAAATGTCAGTATTGAGAAATGAAGCAAACTAAGCAATCTAATGAGTAAACTGACAACTAAATATAATGCATGATCCTGGGTTACACTTGACCAGAAATAAAATTTGTTTACGCACACGTACAGAGATGAAGATATTAAAAAAATCACAAAAAGTAAATTTGGCAGAATCTTAACAACCAGTGAGTCTTGGTGAAGGATAATCATTTATTCAACTATTTTTTGCAACTTTTCTGTAGGGTTGAGAGTCTTTCAAAACAAAAAGCTTAAAGAATTCTGTTTCCGAGAAGACAGGAGGCAGGTGGGGTGGGACAGGAGAGGCTGTGGCGCCGCTTCCCTGGTGGCTCAGTGGTAAAGAATCCACCTGCTCAGGCAGGAGCTTCGGATTCGACCCCTGCTCTGGAAGATCCCACGTGCTGCAGGCAACTAAGCCCACGCGTCACAAGCACTGAGCCCGTGGGCCCTTCAGCCCACGCTCCGCAACTGGAGAAAAGCCCGTGCCCAGCAACCCCGCACAGCAGAAAATATATAAGTTTTTAAAAAATTCTGTTTCCTATGTTAGTGAAGATCCCCTTTCCTAGTGTGCAAAGAACTTTAATTTTGCTCATGAATGGGTACTGAATTCTGGGTGCGTGCGTGCTCCGTTACTGTAGTTGTGTCTGACTCTTTGCGACCCCAAGGACTGTAGCCCACCAGGCTCCTCTGTCCGGGGGATTCTCCAGACAAGAATTCTGGAGTGGATTGCCATTTCCTCCTCCTGGGGAACTTCCCAACTCAGGGATCAAATCCACGTCTCCTGCGACTCCTGCATTGGCAGGCAGATTCTTTACCACTGCCTGGGAAAGCCCAGGCTTTACCTGGGAAGCCCAATATAAGCATTGCTGCTACTGCTAAGTCACTTTAGTAGTGTCCGACTCTTAGCGACCCCATGGACCGCAGCCTACCAGGCTCCTGCGTCCATGGGATTTTCCAGGCAAGAGTACTGGAGTGGGGTGCCATTGCCTTCTCCGAATATAAGCATTAGTGCTGCAAATTTCCCTTGAAGCACCACTTCCCTGCATCCCCATAATTTTACTGATATATTTCATTTTCATTCATGTCCAACGATTTTTAAATTTCCATTTTGATTTCTTCTTTGATCTAGAAGTTATTTAGAAGGTGTTTTTATTATTTTTTTTTCAGCCAGGCTATCGGCATGTGGAATCTTAGTTCCCTGACCAGTGACTGAACCTGTGCCCCCTGCAGTGGAAACATGGAGTCTTAACCAATGGACCACCAGGGAAGTCCCTAGAAAGGTGTTTTTAAACTTCTAAATGAATGAGAATTTAAAATTTCTCTTTCGTTATTGATTTCTAACTCAAGTGCGTTGGGATCAGAAAACCTGATCTATGAATCGGTTTTATGTGTGGTTTTAACTTCTGAAGTTCTTTAGGGCTCCAAGTCTGTTGTTTGTTTTTTCAGCTGATGCTTACTCATAGGGGCTTACATGCTTGGTAGCTCTCAGCTTATGAACTTCCCTAATCTTAATCTGTGGGAGTCCTGTTCACACTGAGATACTTTTCTCTGGAGAAACTTTCTATCTGCTTCCGCCGCAAACCAGAGGCAATACCAAGCCCTCCAGTCCCTTCGCAGATGCTGCCTCAAGGCAGAGACTCAGGATCCTGAAAAGATCTGCTGTTAAATTAATCTATGTGAAACTGCCATCTTGGGGATCAAAGTCTGTTAAATATCAGCAATTGCATACGTCCCAACTTCTGCTGTCAGCGACCGCCACGAGACAAGCCTGTTCTTCCTGTTCGCTTGCTGCTTACCTCTCCTCCCTGGATTTCGCCTCAAGGTCCTTTTCTCTCTTGGAGAGAGGAGCTGGCTTTGGAGACTTCCCCAATGTCTCGTGAGCCCGGCAATACATTTAATGTTATTCAGGAATGAATGAATTTGCAGTGGGGTGGAGGGTTGGTCATAGGAGCCCTAAACAACTGCAAGAAGCTGAAATCCCAGGAGAGGCATGCTTTTCCAATGAAGACACTAAGACTGAAGGGGTGAAATGACTTATTCTTGGCCATACAGCAGGGCTGGGACTTGAACCCACATATGGAATCCAAACTGAGGCTCCTTCTACCTTCCCTCTGCCCCATGCTGCCTCCAGAGAGCTGTGTGGGGCCGGGCCTAGCAGGCGTCCTTACCTGGTGCAAGGGGATGACGAGGAAGGCACCCCCGCCAGTACACTCAGTCACGACCGCGATGAAGTGGGGGTTCACAGCGCAGAAGTGATTGTCTTGGACGCTGTGGGTGATGGGCACGGAGTCGTAGCAGTTCTCCTTGCTGGCTGGTTTGCCAAAGACGTGGCGGAACTTGGAGCTCCGGTACTGGGGGTGCCATGACATCTGGGAGAGACAAACGGGACGGAAGAGGTGTGAGGTTCGCTAACTGAGAACAGGACACACAGTCTCACCTCCTCTCAAGGTAAGGGTGTGAGCAGAACAGTGGTCAGTTCTATGAGGACAGCGACGGGCTAGGAAAGGTACCCAGGTGAAAAGGCTAGAGCTGCGGCTACTTGGAAGGGCCTGGTGAGATGGTGTACAAGTACTACTGACCCGTTTGCTTTTCACTCCTTCGAGTGCAAACACAAAAAAGCAGCAACACTAGAGAGAACCCACCCCACCCCTTTCCTTATTCAGCACCTCACCAGACAGCCCAGCTTCCCTGCCCAGCCCAGCCCAGCCACGTGGGTTAACACTGCATCCTCTGGAGCCAGCCTGCCCGGGGTTCCAATTCCAGTTCTGAGCTTACCAGCTGGGTGGGCAAATAACAATTTCTGAAGTCTTGGTTTGCTTATTTATAAAATGGGGATAAAGAAAGTATCTGTCTCAGATGCATCATGAGATTAAATGAGATGATACACTAAGATCCCTTGCTCAGTAGTAATAATTACTACCACTATTATCATCCAGGCATCTTGACCTTCCCTCACTCATCCAGCCTTCTATTTGTTCATTCAATATGTACTGAGCATCACAGTGTGACTAGGCCCTGTGCTGGACACTGGGGGTTTGGAGAGAGCAAGCCTGAGCCCAGCCTTACAGGAGAGGAGTCCCATGAGTGAGGCTATTAGGGGAGTCTGAGTCTCTGGGACGCAGTTGTACCATAGGTAATAATGGAGGTTTGTACGTGGCAGTCAGGGAGGACTTGCTGCCCTCAGAGGAAGTGACACGTGAGCTGTGATTTGAAGGATGAGTAGGAGTCGGCCGTGTAAGCTAGACCAGGGTAAGCTGGGAAAAAGGTGTCCTAGGCAGATGGAACAGCCCGAGCAAAGGCCCTGAAACAGAGGCCAACATGGAATGTTTGGAGAACTATATATGCTATATAATGTAAGATTAGCAAGATGCTAAAAAGAAAAATAAACACACACACACACCCCCATATCCATGTAAACTGGATGATGTGAAGGAGAACAGGGCTATGTCATGAATGGCCCGTAAGAGGACCCAGGGCTCATGAGTGGCCAGATCGACGGGGCCGTGTGGCCTCCTCTTGCCCCTGCTGATGCTCAGTCCAAACCCCTTCCTCTTGGTCTTGTTGACTCACTGGGCCCTCCCGTCCTCTCTCCCCATGCAGCCAGAAGGACTGTTCTGCCCGGCAAGCCTGGCTGTATTCCTCCCACCAGGCCCCCACCTCAGGGCTCCCTTCGATACTTCCCATTCACTGCTGCTTTATAGGATTAAGGCCAAACTCAGCTTGGGTGCCACCCCATATTCCAAGATTCTCTTTCTCTTGCTCATCTTCTAAACGGCACCTTCCAGATAAAGAACACCACCAGCTCCCTGGCACTACTCCTGCATCTTCGGTCCTCTGGGCCTTCACCCGCGTCTTTCCCTCTGCTTGGCCTGCTCTTCCCAGGCCCCTGGAGCCTGCACTCGTCTCTCCTCTCCCCCAGCTCCCAGGCGGCCTCCACCAAAGGCAGATCGAGTAGCAGAGATCTCATTCTCCTGTCTCTCCTCCCTGCTCTGAATTGGAGCTTGGGGTCAGGACACCTCTACCAGCTTGCAGGTTCCTCAAGGGAAGGCCTGGGGCGGCCCCAGGAATGCCCGGCACAGTGCTTTGCCCACCCCATGCTCCCAGGCACTTCCCAGGGGAAGGCACGTCGGACTGAGAGGTCAAGACAGGGCTGGCGCGGGCCCAGCCAGGTGGTCTGCCCTGAAGCTCTTCTCTGTGCTCAGTCCGAAGGCGCGAGATCAGACTGCTGACCTCAGGAGGTCACAGTGATCAGGGGCCTGACACATGAGCCAGGCCCCTTGTACAGCACCAGGCAGCCCAGCAGCCTCATGGCAGCAGGTCCGTCCTGTGAAGCTCAGACACTTCAACCCTCCTTTCGGGAGCTTCGCCCAAAACCCTGATGGCATTTGCTAGAGCTACAGGGAGCAGCACAGAACGCAGGGGCTGCCTAATTAATGCCCATTTGACCCCAGAAAGGATGCGAGAAGCCTTACAGAAATAGAACACAGATAGGAGGAAATAAAAAGAAAAAGCCATGATGAGGAAATGGGCACAGAGGGAAAATGCAGGAAAAAAGATCACTAGGAATGTAGGAGGAGCAAAGCTATGAATGTGGGTTACCCGATCCTGTACACAGAGGAGGCGGGCTTGGGGGATTTGTGTCTGAGCTTCCTAGCAGTCAATTGACAAGGGAAACAAAATCAAAAAGGGATTTATTTACTCAGTGCCTGTAAGACAAATGCCACCATTTGCTAAGGAGCCACAAGGCTCTTCTCTGCACTGGGTCCTGAGAGAAATAAGTCCTATAGATTGTCCCAGGAAGGATGAGTAAAGATAATGGTCTCCCTTCAGCTCAGTTCAGTAGCTCAGTCATGTCCAACTCTTTGCGACCCCATGGACTGCAGCACGCCAGGCTTCCCTGTCAATCACCAAGTCCTGGAGCTTCCTCAAACTCATGTCCATCAAGTTGGTGATGCCATCCAACCATCTCATCCTCTGTCATCCCCTTCTCGTCCCACCTTCAATTTTTCCCAGCATCAGGATCTTTTCCAATGAGTCGGTTCTTCGCATCAGGTGGCCAAAGTATTGGAGTTTCAGCTTGAGCATCAGTCCTTCCAATGAATATTCAGGACTGATTTCCTTTAGGATGGACTGGTTGGATCTCTTTTCAGTCCAAAGGACTCTCAAGAGTCTTCTCCAACACTGCAGTTCAAAAGCATCAATAGATTCTGATAGACATCTGATCTGATAGCATCAAGATTCTGATAGACAGAATGCCTGAAGAACTATGGACAGAGGTTTGTGACATTGTACAGGAGGCAGGGATCAAGACCATCTCCAAGAAAAAGAAATGCAAACAAGCAAAATGGTTGTCTAGGGAGGCATTACAAATAGCTGTGAAAAGAAGAGAAGTGAAAAGCAAAGGAGAAAAGGAAAGATATTCCCATTTGAATGCAGAGTTCCAAAGAATAGCAAGGAGAGATAAGAAAGCCTTCCTCAGTGATCAGTGCAAAGAAATAGAGGAAAACAATAGAATGGGAAAGACTAGAGATCTCTTCAAGAAAATCAGAGATACCAAGGGGACATTTCATGCAAAGATGGGCTCAATAAATGACAGAAATGGTATGGACTTAACAGAAGCAGAAGATATTAAGAAGAAGTGGCAAGAATACACAGAAGAAGTGTACAAGAAAGAGCTTTACAACCCAGATAATCACGATGGTGTGATCACTCACCTAGAGCCAGACATCCTAGAATGCAAAGTTAAGTAGGTGGGCCTTAGGAAGCATCAATATGAAGAAAGCTAGTGGAGGTGATGGAATTCCAGTTGAGCTATTGCAAATCCTAAAAGATGAAGCTGTGAAAGTGCTGCACTCAGTATGCCAGCAAATTTGGAAAACTCAGCAGTGGCCACAGGTCTGGAAAAGGTCAGTTTTCACTCCAATCCCAAAGAAAGGCAATGCCAAAGAATGCTCAAACTACTGCACAATTGCACCATTCTCACCCGCTAGCAAAGTAATGCTCAAAATTCTCCAATCCAGGCTTCAACAGTACATGAACCATGAACTTCCAGATGTTCAAGCTGGTTTTTGAAAAGGCAGAGGAACCAGAGATCAAATTGCCAACATCCGCTGGATCATCGAAAAAGCAAGAGAGTTCCAGAAAAACATCTGCTTCTGCTTTATTGACTATGCCAAAGCCTTTGACTGTGTGGATCACCACAAGCTGTGGAAAACTCTTAAAGAGACAGGAATACCAGACCACCTGACCTGCCTCCTGAGAAATCTGTATGCAGGTCAGGAAGCAACAGTTAGAATTGGACATGGAACAACAGACTGGTTCCAAACTGGGAAAGGAGTACATCAGGGCTGTATATTGTCATCCTGCTTATTTAACTTATATGCAGAGCACATCATGAGAAACGCTGGTCTGGATGAAGCACAAGCTGGAATCAAGATTGCTGGGAGAAATATCAATAACCTCAGATATGCAGATGACACCACCCTTATGGCAGAAAGCAAAGAACTAAAGAGCCTCTTGATGAAACTGAAAGAGGAGAGTGAAAAAGTTGGCTTAAAGCTCAACATTCAGAAAACTAAGATCATGGCATCTGGCCCCATCAGTTCATGGCAAACAGATGGGGAAGCAATGGAAACAGTGTCAAAATTAATTTTTTTGGGCTCCAAAATCACTGCAGATGGTGACTGCAGCCAGAAATTAAAAGACACTTGCTCCTTGGAAGAAAAGTTATGACCAACCTAGACAGCATATTAAAAAGCAGAGACACACACACACACACACACACAAAAGCAGAGACATTACTTTGCCAACAAAGGTCCGTCTAGTCAAAGCTATGGTTTTTCCAGTAGTCCTGTATGGATGTGAGAGTTGGACTATAAAGAAAGCTGAGTGCTGAAGAATTGATGCTTTTGAACTGTGGTGTTGGAGAAGACTCTTGAGAGTCCCTTGGACTGCAAGGAGATCCAACCAGTCCATCCTGAAGGAGATCAGTCCTGAATATTCACTGGAAGGACTGACGCTGAAGCTGAAACTCCAATACTTTGGCCACCTGATGTGAAGAACTGACTCATTGGAAAAGATCCTGATGCTGGGAAAAATTGAAGGTGGGAGGAGAAGGGGATGACAGAGGATGAGATGGTTGGATGACATCACCAACCTGATGGACATGAGTTTGAGGAAGCTCCGGGACTTGGTGATGGACGGGGAAGTCTGGCATGCTGCAGTCCGTGGGGTCGCAAAGAGTCGGACACGACTAAGGGACTGAACTGAACTAATGAAATATTGCTCTTTACAGCATTGGACTTTATTTCCATCATCAGTCGCATCTACAACTGGGTGTTGTTTTTATTTTGGCTCTGTCTCTTCATTC